GAAGAACGAGAGAGAGAGAGAGAGAGAGAGAGAGAGAGAGAGAGAGAGAGAGAGAGAGAGAGAGAAGCGTAATGTATTAGGCGTTTCTGAGATAAATATCCCCTCAAGCTCTTGAAAAGTATATTTTGCAAAAGTTCTTATATGTGTATAATTAATTTATATAATGTGATCTGATTTGACCATCAGCAATTCTCTAGTGTACTGGAAAAGGAAGTATGATGTCCAATTCAAATAGATCCGCCGGTTGAGTTTACTCAGACATCATGATGAAACAAAAAATTGTAAAAATTAAATTTGAATTCATCCATTACTTTTGCACTTCGGATATTTGTGGGAATGTCGTTTCAAAGTTAGGCTGTATAATATATAAATAAGCGCTTAAATATCTCGGATCTACATTTAGATAGAATGAGAAAATCAGGATCATTTCTAGCATTCCTATTTGTAACTAATTTTCTACATGGAAACTTTTATCATATATACAAAAAGAAGGTGCAGTTTCTGAACAGATAATTTATTAAAAAACTCATACCTGTGAAATAATCTCATTTGACATTGACTTTGAGTTAATATAACTTATGAAAATAGAATATGATTTGTATATCTCTTTCAATGAAAAAAAAATGAGTATTACAAAAGAACATAGCTCGCTACAAACGTAGATTTTGCTGAGCAATAACATCTGTTATGGGGAGAATCTGGTTTAAGAGCCCGAAAAATGCATAATTTTTAGGAATTTTTTAAAGTAGGTAAAATAAAAGCAATTACTCCCACACTTTTAAAATATATTATTGTATATTTAAAATACAAAAATTAATTGTTTGGAGTAAAAATATGGCCATTAATCTGGCGAAATAGGAAGATGCTTGTAGCGCCTCGCGGCTGCAGTTGGTCCATTGTATACATTTTAGAGAGTGTAAATCTTGTCTGAAACAAACGATTCAAAAATTTTTATTAATTTTAAATAATTATCTTCTAAGTGAACCCAAAAAACCGAAAAAATAACAAAAATTGAGAAATGGACACGATTCTAAAAAAAATTTCATTTTTCATAAAAAAAATTTCGCTTTTTTAGTATAAAAAACTAGTCTAATTTTATTTTTTTAATTTTGTTTTAGGTTTACTTAGTAAAGAAACAGGTAACAAACAAAATGGGCTGAGGTGGAACTCAATCGGTTAATTAGATTTTTCTCTATCGTATACACAAATTTGAAAAACACGGTTTTGAGAAAAACGCTTTTAAGATGACACAGCAACAATGGAATAATCAAAGATGTTACTCGATGAGACGCTGTCTCAGAGCAATAGACAGTAAATTATTGCAGAGTTTCAATTGATATAGAATGGAGTTCATCTTCTTCGCGCGCGTGTAAAAGAGAGAGAGAAAGAGAGTGACAGTGTATGTGTGAGGGATAAATTACTAAAAGTTGATCTCCGTTACTCGCACACCGCTCGCGCGCCTTAATTCCGATGAAAAGCAGAAGGGAGTCGTTGCCAAATGCTCGAGTAATTACCGCCGCTGCGGTCACGCTAATCTATAGAATATTACTTGGTTAATGCAGCTCGCGGTTATACACAGCAAAATTGAATTCAATGCCAAAGCTCGAACTCGCAATCTCGAGCCACCGCACCAACGGACGGGCCGCCGCATCACGCCGCCAACTCGCTCGTTTGCTTCCTCCTCTTTTGCTCCCTTTCGCCCTTCAACCTTGTCTCCCGCCCTTCCTCTTCTCTCTCTCTCTCTCTCTCTCTCTCTCTCTCTCTCTCTCTCTTTCCTTTCCCACTTCCCCGCTGCCGTTGCCGCTGCCGCCGTACGCCGCTTATCTCTCGTATCGATCGCTAATACAAAGTCGTGATTCTGGGAGCCGATATATCTCACGCTCGCGGCGCACCGCAAAGTTTCGTTCCGAAGTGCGAAGTGGGTTCGCGCGAAGCGAGAGTGGATTGCCGGATACCGCGCGCGGAGATCTTCCTCTTTTTTCCTCTCCCTCTCTTTTTCTCTCTATCTTTTTTTCTTCTCTCTTTCCCTCTTTGACTTTTTCTTTCTCTCACAGCTGCGAATTCGCGAGAGACAGAAGCAGGCTGCCGCCGGCGCGCCGCTCTTGCGTTAGCGCCGCTGGTCTCTCAGCGCGGGAAGGGGGTTGCATAAATATTATGCAAATATATCCGAAGCACCCCCGTGTTACAAGGCGCGCGAGCGCGAGACCGTTACGTTCCAGCCGCCGCCGCCGCCACCAGCACCGCCACCGCCACCGCCGCGGGACTCCGCCGAGCGCGACGCAAAGTGTCGTTGCTTATTTCCAACCGACGAGATATGCGCGACTCGCGTGTTCCCTTATCATTCGCCAAGATAGCTTGCACTTTGCATACGCGGCATAATTCAACGCCAAACCCACTCTTTCCCAGCTCCCGCCAGCCCCGCATCTCTTGTCCTCCTATCCGCAGTTCTCCTCTCCTATCGCTCCCTATCGCCCTACCCCGACCGCTCTATCGTGCCTTATAGCGACGGCGCTCCGCCGCTTCTTACCTACCTCGCTCTCTCATCGCAGCCCTCTCTCCCCCTTACCTCCCCCTCGTTTCTCTTTCCTCTCTCTTCTTCCTTGCTTGCTTGCTTGCTTCCTTCCTTTCTTCCTTCCTTCCTTCCTTCCTTCCTTCCTTCCTTCCTTCCTTTCTTCCTGCGACCTCTTCTCTCTTACACGACGACCCTCGTCGCCGTTTCTGCGCAGTTCGATCTACGGTTGAACACGCTGCGAGCTTCGAGACTTGGAAACGAGCCGAGGGTAGGTAGGTAGGTAGGTAGATCTTGAGTAAGGCGTCCTTCACACTGACGGATACGCAGGCGTTCGCGAATTCGTGTGGGGAACCCATCTGTGCGTACACTTACAGCGACGACGCGACGCGACGGACAGAATGGATGGATATTCGCGATGAATTCATTTTACCGTGACGAACGATGGTAATAAGCGAGGACTCCTCACGACTCTGCAATCCACTCGTTTACCCACTGGCGGCAGACGGCGAACGATTGTGGAGAGCGCGCCATCGGTGAGCTGCGACACATCGCGATCATCCCCGCGTGGCAAATTTTCCCCACGCGACGTGTCGCGCGCAAAGTACCGTCGATAACTCGTCGTTATCAAATTTCTAAACGCCCGTGTGCTCGTTGGAACAGGTCCCTCGTTGCATCAGACGGTGTTCAGAGAGTTGCGAGTTTCCTTTAAAACTCTGAGCTGAAATTATGCAGGAAGATGTCGAGGTAGGATAATTGGATCGGTGAGAGGCCACGAGTGTGCCAAATAGAGTAAGACGATACAATACGTCTCCAGTTGACAAAACGTTCCTTTTCTCGGAAACGTAGAAATGACGCAAGAGTAGCATATTCCGGCTTTTAGTACGTCTTTAATCAGGATATAGAGCGGATTTCAATGTCGTAGCGCTCTGTTACCGTTATTGTATAGATCATATTTAAGTTTTGTCTAATTTCGAATAACTCCTCGAAGAATTATCGAATTTGAAACAATTTTTTTTAATTCTTAAGAGTTAAGTCTGTACTTTAAGGAACATTTACTACATTTTGAATTTATTCTCTTCTTCCTTCCCTCTTGCGCCGTCTTTATAGAAGTGAGGACATGGTATGTTTAAAAAAATTGTATAATTCAACACACTGTCAGTGGAGCGGAATGAATTCTTCTTGCAAATTCCATAAGAACCATAGGAAAATGTAGATTTTCCTTGCTAATTAAAAGAAAGGAAAAATTTGTATCTCGCAGAGATACGGTGTATTAAAGTTACCTATGCATTTTTGTTAATTTACCGCCAGCATTATCCGATACACAGGCGCACATACACATATACAATACATAAAACAATACGTGAAATCCGACCGGTAACTTCGCCGTGGTGCGCATAGGATAATACTAATACTGATTTTAATTAAACAAAAATTTATAGCTAACTTTGATACACCGTAACTCTGCGAAAAAATCGTACAAATATGTTTTTTTCTTTTAATTTACAGGAAAAGTCTATACTTTGTGACAGTTTACCAAAGAACAATTTGCGAGAAAATGCATTACATTTCGCAGAATATATCAAGTTGTGCCATTTTTTGGAAACATAACACGTCCTTATTTTTGAAAAGCCAACAAGAGGGGGGATGATAAATTCGAAATGTAACAAATGTTCCTCAAAGTATAAGCTTTATTCTTGAGAATGAAATATTTTTTTTCAAATACAATAATTTTTCGAGGACTTATCCTCATTTGAAGTTCGGCTAAATTTTTACATAAAAGTATCTATATGATATTTGTGTTTGACGAATATATATCGAAAAAAACTTTTAATGCTGCAAGCCGTATTCAGGTGCGAAATTCATGATTTAGTTGGATACGGCTTATAACATGCAGATGTTATTTATTCACGTGAAAACTATTTAAAATAACTATTAAATTTGATCTACGTTTGCATCTAATTTATTATCTCTGGTGTTTTATGAATGAGACAGTTTGTACTACAGAAATTATAAATACACCTCATATATGGTATGTGTAATATACTTCACTAACTATGTATGTTATGTAAAAGAATGAGGCAGGATTATGCACGAGAAATTTTGCAACTTTCAGCTTTTATGAAATCAGTCAGAAATCAGATGACGGAAACTATTATAATATAATATTAAAAGATGATTGAATGCACTGTTCATTTTATTTCGATTGGTTGCATAAATAATGTGCACAGTTAGATGTTCACGAGCCATCTTCTTTATATTATATACGAAAGAGGCATATTATCAATAGGCTTAGGGCGTCTAACATAACAGGAATGTTGACAAAACGTTCTATTGAAGGTTAAAAAATATATTCTTTTGTGTTTACATTTCAATTTGTGATAATTTCCGAAAATAAATTAAAGGAAGAATGTTTGTAGTTGAATAAATTAAAGTTGAAATAAAGATAAATAATATGAAAATTGACATTTTATTGGTCTTTCTTGGCCTTATTGTACAGTTTGCTCTACTTCTTACAGTTTTGCTCTACTTCTTTTCCTTCCCGAGACGTTTCGCTACGATCTGTATAGGATTCCTATTTCGTGCCGCTTCAGATGTTACGGATTTAATGTCTTCGGTGTCGCGACAGCAATGGAATCATTTATCGTCGAAACAATTAGTCTTCGTGTTGAAGATCTAATTTCATTACGGCTTAATAACGAGAAGTATGCCAATGTTAAACGATCCAATAATTTGTCATGACATAATTTCTTAGTTTCGTCGATGCTGTCATATGTGTGTGTGTGTGTGTGTGTGTGTGTGTACATATATACCAATATATCACATATATCAATATATACATTGATCTTTCAACTCCCAAGCGGGGTGAATTGTTTGTCCCATAAATGATAATTTTAAAATAATTTTGTCGGAAAATTCTGATAATTATTTTACTAAAGATATTCTATATCAACACATAAGTAAAAATTAATATTGTATCACATTTTCGCATTCATATGTTTATTTACTAAATTTCCATACAATTTTTGATATCATAAACATGCTATTACACGAAAAATTTTCTAGAAGCTGCTCGTTCCACTTGAGAACTCGTGTCTCGGAAGCAGACATGGGAATCGAAGTGTTAACTAAAAATATCAAATCAAAGATAAGCTCAGAAAAATAACATCTCGACCAGATGCTGAGCTTGAAATCTCCGAGCTTCAACCCTCCATCTTCACGAGAAGGTCGATGGCGACAGCGAGATCTGAAATCGCGGTTAACTTTACGCGGACTTGATTTGAAAAAAAGTTTAATTTAAAGTTACATCGCGCAACGCGATATTTTATTCGAGTGGCTGTCCGGCTGGCAAACTCGCGGTAGATCGCGAGACCCGAGTCGAGCAAAGCGGGTAATTTCCGTGACATTTTCCATATCACTAATTCGCGAGAATTCGACGACAACTGCGCGGGATCACGCCGTGGAAAATAATAACTGCTTTTGAGTGTGAACGAGACCTAAAACGTCAAGGAGATTGCCTGGCACGTGAAATATCCGTATAGACGCTGGGCGAGGTGGCGGGCGGATATCGTAGCCTCGCTGCGAATACTCGAGCGCTTTGCCCATCTTGTTGGTAACCACTTGGCTTCT